GGATTACCAAAGATGAGAGAATACAAATTTTGAAAAATGAATCGTGTTTTATTTTCTATCGCAAACCTAGTCTGTATCTTGGCTCTCTTTCTGTTAGTGACCTCTAAGTGGATGACTTCCTGAACGTGCACTTCTTCCCCTTTGTTCCTTCTTTAAAGAAAGAAAGGCCTGTTATAACAGCAGTGAATAATCTAATGAATCCTGCTGGCACTCCCCACTGCTCCTTGTCTTTTCTTCTTTCATATGTGTGTTGTCACACACAAGTCTAATGTACACAGCTCAGACATATTAGCAGACACCCCCACCCTGCCTGCCCCCAATTAAGTTGCCAACCCAGCACCTCACTCCCAGCCACCGGGGAAGAGATTGCCTGTTACATCACTCAAGCCCATTATTCTCATTTCTCCCTGTGGCATCTACTCCTTCTGGATGCTTTTTAGCTCATGGTTTAAGCAGAGGCAAGACATATTTTGCATTTTAAGATTAATATTATATATCTTTGACTTTTACAAGGCTAGACACCCTAGGGACTGACATTTAATAGATGTTAATGGAATTTAATTTTTACAGGCACTAGGTGTGAGCATTTATCTTCTAAAATAGTCTGAAACCTAGAGCGGCACCAAGAAAATTCCATAACAAATTATTTTTCACTCTATCTCCTTAAATTGAGTTACTGAGTGAAGTAGAAAAGCTGTTTTCTGATAGTTAGAATTTAAAACCTGAATATAATTATCATTAATTAATTACATGGAGAGGATCAACAGGCATTTTGCCATAGTGATTACCATTGCAAAACAGTTCTAAAATGGTGCCTAAAAAGAAACTTTCTCCATCATCTATTATTCCATTGATTTTCATTAGGCAAGTCATTCCCCTGCAAAATTAAGTGTGTCCCCAAACGTAATAAATAATAATCAACATGATAAATATTTTGACAAATTTTGTATAAAGAAAAAAACTCTAACAAAGCAATACTACTCAAAAGTGACACAAAATGAGAGGTAGTTGACAAGATGACAATGTATTCTGAGTAAATTGTGTGTTCTAAGCCTGCAACCAGAAGCAGAATAGCCACTTGTGTTTTTAAAGTACATTTTTGTCTGGGTTTCAAATATAATTTAATTTGAAATTCTGGCTAATATTATCACAGCATTTGGATAATATTACAGATAGAAGAAACATTGCTTTGTATCTTTGTAATCTTTATAATTCATGAACTAACGTAAAAAAAGTGATCAGTTTATTCTCTACCTATTTAAAATGTGAAGTCTCTCCAGTTCCAATTAATGAAGAAAAACTATTCTTTTTTTGCTTCACTGCCTGGCAGTGAAGTGCTTACTTAATAAACATTTGATGAGTAAATGAATGATTTTGACAGTAGCCAAGGACTTGCAGCAAAAATGAGGTAATGCAGTACATTGCAAAGAGCAATGTGAGGGAGCAGATCTGGGTTCTCAACCCAGTTCTGTCAGGAACTAGCTGTGTCACTTTAGGTAAGGAACTTGACCTCTCTGAGCCTCGGCTTCCTCCTTGTAAATCTGGATGCTGGGGATGATCTCCAGTGGCCTTCTAGTTCTAAAAGGCTGCAGCCAATTGTTCTTGCCAGAGTCACTTTGAACTTTAGCCATTAGTCTCCAGAGGAGATAGACACATTTAGCACAGTAGCTTCTAGAATGAAATCTATTAAGAGGTTCAGTATGATAAGGCAAGCAGTGGAACACAAACCTCAATGGTTCACCCAAACAGGACTCGAGTAAGTGTAGAAGTATACATGAGAAATAGAAGGGAAACCTGCAGAAAAAAAAGTCTCTATAGCTCAGACTAGTGAAATCTCCAGATAGCAGGTTTCCTCTAGAGGTCAAAAGTAAGTATGTTTTATTTATAACTGATTAACAAGTGATTACTTTATAAAAGGCTTTCCTTCCGAAGAGAGCACCAGGATGCTTTATTTCCTAATTGGAGAGTGCTTTGCACATAAATAAAGGAGAATTGCCACTGCTTGTCAGGGAAGCACTTTGACAGGGCAAGCTTGTTCTTATCTGTGTCCTGATTTACTGTATGACCTTGGCCAAGTCGTTCATCTTCCTCCAATCAGTATCCCTAATGGTAAAATGGAAATAAAAATACTCTGAGGATTCTGCCTTCACTGAGGATTAATAAGACAAGATGAATGTTCTTAAGCCCCCAGAGGGGAAAAGGCCATATATAAGAAAGCAAAAAACTACAGAATAGTGTTGTTGGACTTTTCATACAACTTGGGAAAGAAAAAAACAAAATAAAACTCTTGAGCTTTGGGCCAGGCCAGGTGGCTCATGCCTGTAATCCGCTCATGCCTGTCATCCCAGCAGTTCGGGAGGTTGACATAGGCAGATCACCTGAGGTCAGGAGTTCCAGACCAATCTGGGTAACATGACGAAACCCCGAAATCTCTACTAAAAATACAAAAATTAGCCAGGTGTGGTGGCAGGCACCAGTAGTCCCAGCTACTGGGGAGGCTGAGGCAGGAAAATCGCTTGAACCCGGGAGGCAGATGCTGCAGTGAGCCAAGATTACCCCACTACACTCAGCCTGGGTGACAGAGTGAGACTGTTTAAAAAAAAAAAAAAAATGCCTGAGCGTTAAGTTTTTCAGTTCGAAAACAAAAAACTCCAAAACAAACAAACAAACAAAACCTCACCTCCTACAATCTGCCCATTTTTCCCCCCTGCATGTTGCACAGTAGTTGAAAGGCTGAAGGCTGATGCTGAATGTATCCCCCTCCCCCAGAATTCTAAACCCTTGCTCCATTGGGAACAGTGAGATCCTGGGCAAATGAGCTTTGACGTGTCAGTTTCTTCTTCTGTAAGATATGGGATAATACTACTACTTATCATATGTATACAGATGTGTGAATAGATGCCTGACATATAGTAATTTCCCAGTAAATATTTGCTGATAATTTCTGTTTCTTAGCAGCATCATTCAAACTGCTGGAATATTTTCTGTTAAAAAAATCAAAGGTCCTTGTGCGATATTACTGGGATATAAAGATAAACGTGATAAAACATTTGTACTTAAAAGGGGAACTAGTATAAAACCGTAAAGCCCACGGCTTTCTGCTGAATAGAATGAGTTTGGGGGACAGGGACAACGCCTTAAAATGGGGCCGCGCGGACGCGAGGGGGCGCTGTGATTCCGCTTTGGCGAGCGAGAGGCGGCAACTCGTGCGGGGCGGGGAGGGCTGCGCGCTTCCAGCCTCCCAGTACCCAGGAGCTTCGCCACCTACTACGTCGGCTTGGGTGACCCCAGGGTGGGGCCGCTCGCAGCTCCACGCTCTTCACGTTGGTCTCTCCCCTCCCCCTGAGCAGACGGTTCTTTCCGCCAGCTGTTCTTAATTTGAGATTCCTGAGTCCCGGGGTTTGGGAAACCAGACCCTCCCCCGCCCCCACCCCCCACCCCCGCAACTGTAGGGAACGTTTTGGGTGCGCTTATGTCGGGTATTTTCCTGGGCAAAAGGACTGAAGCTGTCATCTGATTCTTTAAGGGGTTCGTGTCCCTAGAGGGGGTTAAATTCTCTTGGTTTTGAGAAAGAGGGCCCACCCAACCACCCACCCAAAGGCCAAACACACAGCAGGTCCGGAAACGACTCTGAAGTCACTCCTTGTCCTCCTCCCAAGGTCGGGCGAGAGACTGGCACGCTCCAAGGGGAATCTTCAGAAAAAGGGTCAGATCGGGTCCTTAAACAGCTCAGGTGCGAAGCTAAATCGTCCTCTGGAAAGAGGGGAGACAGTACTTGCTCCCACGGTCCCTCCCTTCCCTTAGTCCCAGGAAGAGGTCAGACACCAGGAAATGGGGCCGAGGCGCTTGGTCTGATCCACCTGCCACTCGGATCCCCACTCCCAAGCGGTTGCTCAGACATTGGCATGATGGGGAAACTCGATTGATTTTGTTACCTCCTAGAGGGAAAATGCCGTGGGCGGAGGTGTCTGAGCGTCCCTTCCAACGCGAGCTGGGTGGTGCTCTACTGATTTCCACGCGATCCCGGGGCGGGAGCGAGAGAGTGGGCTCGGATTCCCGGGCTCCCGGACTGAAGGCCTGGCAGTGTCCCCGGGGGCAGAGCCAACCAGGGAGCCCGTGCAGTATACAAGGTGGGGGGCCCGGAGAGGAAGCACAGCGCAGACGAGTGTGAGGGGCCGGCAGAAAGCAGGGTGGGGGACCTGGGGGGACACACCGACCTAGGACAAAGTACCACCCATCCCAAACTTTCGCAGACCCGGGAGCTTAGGAGGGGACAGCCCAGCAGCACAGCAGCCTCTCCCGCCGCTCAACGTGCCCAGTTGTAGCGAGGAGGGGCGGCGCGCACGCCGGCTGGACTCGGGCGGCCCCCACGTCGCGCCCACCCGCCGGGCCAACGCACCGCCGCTCGGGTCACTGAGTGGCAGCCCACGGAAGAAGCCAGACCGCCGGGCTCTGGGCTGCGTACGGGCGCCGAGGAAGGGGGATTCAGACGCGGATCGGGAAGGGACACCGAACCCAGAGGCGTCCCCAGCGCGGTGGGGCGACGGAACATGTCCTTGGGCTGCCAGCGGGCGCGCAAACGGGAGTCCGGCAGGCTCGGGAAGAAGTGAGCGCGGAGACTTCCACCGGGTAAAGTCGGATTAAAGAGAAATGTGAAAAGCAACCCAGGGCAGCCAGCGGAGCCCGGCAGCCTAGAAGCCACCGGCTTCCCGCTGGGAGGAGCACAGTGACTGACTCGCGGAGACGCGGCGCGGGTCTACGCGGAGGAGTCGCCTCACAGCGCGGGGCGCACCAGCGGCGGCCAGAGCGCGAGATGCGGCGCACAGCTCCGGGACGGTCCTGGCTGGGAATCCTCGCGGGCGGCGCTGCGCGGCGCTGACCCGGCGCGGGTCCGAGGGGTGTGCCCCGGCCCCCCCCCGCCTCCGCCCCCTCCCGTGCCGGTCGCGCGCCCCTCCCCGCGGCAGAGGCGGCGGCGGCACATCCAGGGGCGGCGCGGAGCGGAGCGGCTCGCCCAGCCCAGCAGCCAGTGCCTGCGAGCTCCGCGGCTGCTTGGGGAATTCACTTTGCTGCTTTTCGCTTCTCCCTTCCTCAGGCTTCTTCTGATGGCTTTCTGCCTCCGGCCCGAGTCTTTCCTTTAAAAGGAAAACTTTACCGCGATACCCTTTTCCCCTTGGAGGAGAGGATTAAAAGTTCCCAGAACTGGTGCCGCCCGTGCGGTTGGGGCGCTGGGAAGGTGCTCGGCGGCGGGGTTCCGGGTTCCACCATGTGCACCAACATAGTTTACGAGTGGCTCAAAGCGCTGCAGCTTCCGCAGTACGCGGAGTCCTTCGTGGATAACGGCTACGATGACCTGGAAGTGTGCAAGCAGATCGGGGACCCGGACCTGGACGCCATCGGGGTCCTGGCGCCCGCGCACCGCCGCCGCATCCTAGAGGCCGTTCGCCGGCTGCGGGAGCAGGACGCCAACGCCGCCGGCCTCTACTTCACGCTCGAACCGCAGCCGCAGCCGGCGCCCCTCCGGCCGCCCGCCGACGCTGTTCCCACCAGCCGCCGGAGGGAGCCGTGCAGCGGCCTGGCCCAGGGCACCCGCGGGGACTTCCGCGGCCACACGACGGCCCCCCGCAGCAGGGAGCTGGTGAGCTACCCCAAACTGAAGCTGAAGATCATGATCAGGGATAAGCTCGTCCGTGACGGCATCCACCTGAGCAAGCCCCCGTACTCCCGCAAGGTAAGGAGGTGCGGTCCGGGCGGCCCGGGGCGCGCGGCGGGAGGGGACACGGCCCAGCCGCCAGTGCGCAGGCTTTGCAGCCCATTCATTCCAGGTGACGACAGACGGAGAGGCCTGAAGGCTTTGGGTATCTGGGACCCTAATCTATGCTCTTTCTGTATTAGCCTATTATTCCTTCCCTCCTGGTGCCTCCAATGGTTGGGAAAATAAGCCCCCGCATCCAGACGTTAACTCTAAACTAGCAACCAAAACTCCACCTCGTCTTTGGTGCTCACCTGTCAGGAATCGGACTCGCGGAGCTTCTCCTGGTAGCCAAGGGAATCCCTAATGCCCCCTGTAATAGTTTTGGGTTTGAGGAGTACCAGAAAAATGGTTAATACCTACGTTGCTTTCTACCTTCCTTCTTCTTTTTCTTTTCCTTTTTTGAGTCTTGAGAAACTCCCAAGGGAAATCGGTGAACTCTCTTTAAAGAGTGGGAAGTCAGGCCCTGTCTCTCGCAATTCCGTCAAAAACCCCAGCACTGCTGCAAATTTGAGAAGCGTACTATTAACACGAATATTTTAAGGGGAAAAGTGAAGGAAGCACGTGTTAGTCCACTTGACTTCCTGAACTCGTGTATACTGAAGGCAATAAGGTGCTAAGGACATCGGAGGTAATAGGGCCACAGGACGTGCTTCAGAGGTCTGTGCTGTCACCAGTTTGGTTTATTCTTAAGCCAGATGAGGTGAAGTAGGTGCAACTGTGACTCCCAGAAAGTGTGAGTGGACCTGCATTTGGGAGAGGAGGACCTAGCACCAGGAAGGGAACTAAAGGAATCCTCTGCACAAGGGGCCTCCGGGAAAGAGCCTGGAAGTTTGGAAATGTGGACTGGGAGCCGGGTAATTAACAGAAAGTGGCACTTCACATCAGCTCTGCATCTAGCTTGGAGTCTGTTCCGTTTAGGTTTCTAGTTGAGGTGGCTGTCAGAGTAGAAGGTCCTGACTTGATAGAGAAATAGACAGCACAGGTAACCCTCAGGGTTGCGAAAGTGCACAGGAATATGAGCACCTCAGCTTAAAACCATCAACTTAAAGAGCCCGGGGAGAAAATGATGGCAAAGATACTCAGCTGGTGGAGAACACAAACCCAACTCCCTAGTAGGAAATGTGGATAACCTCAGTGTTGTGTGTGCATCTTGGACCCTGGTAGTATTGCTGTAGAATCTTAAGAAAAGGCTGTATTGCCTGGACTTAAGGAAGTTCAAGGGAAAGCTCTGTAAAAAGTAGATAACAATACCTAAGGTAGATGGGGATGAGGGGTTTAATATTATCTACTACCTTGCAGGTAATATCAGCAATTCAGATAACCTGCTTGACCATGTTAATTGGTTTTCTAAGAAGGATATAAAGAAGGCAGGTTAGGAGGACAGAGTGCTTCAAATTAAACATGTGTTCTGGTTACCCACTCGACTGTGCCACTGATGTGTGCGCTAAACAGGAAAGGAGAGAAGAGTTTTCCCAGGCAGTTGCATGTATGTAGGAGTTCCATGTGTGTCTGGTGTGGATAGAGAGATCTGGACACAGCAGGTCAAAGGAAATCAAAGCCAGTGGATGTTTGTTATTAGCATCCCAAGAAGTAAGGTGGACTTATTCTGAGAGAACGTGAGTACCTGGGCACTCGGTGAGGGCATAGTTCAAGTCCTGGCCAGAAAGGAATGCAGAAAGCAAAGTGCGTCACTAGAGCTTGCTTGTTCTTCAGGAAAAGTGCTGTGTAATGGGGTGGGGAGAGCAGGGGCACTGTGGGCTGGAGGTGAGAAGAGTAAGCTTGAAGTGACACATTTTAGTTCTGATTCTCAAAGAGCAAAAGACAGACCGACATAGCAAACTTCGAGGCCAGAAAGGATGTGAAAGGGATGAAATGTCAATGCATGTGCTTTGCACTGTGGACTCCTGCCTAGATCAGTGGGTCATATGGTGGTGCATTTGCATAAGTGCAGTTTATATAGGAAATGCCAAGCTGCATTGCAATATTATTTACTTTCTAAGTAAATAATTACTTCAGTCAATTTTGCTTTAAGGTAAATCCCATAACAATAATGCTTGATAACAAAGATATGCTCCTATTCACTCTATACATATTTAATTTTCCTTAAACTGATGGAAGAATAAAATGGAAACAGAAGTGTTTTTATTCTCTTCTTCACTGATGCTCCAGTTGAGGACCAAAAAAAAACTGGTGCTGACAAACTTTACTGTAAGAAAGAATAACACACACTGAAATAGGAATTAAAATATAATTAGTGTACACCATATAATGTACACACATAATTAGCATACATATATAGGAAACTGAGCACACAAATGTTTAGTACCAGAACACGTTGATCATTCTGGATTTGTTGCTTATATGTACATTGCATCTTAAGTTTTGGATTTTAAATTATTGAAGAATTTGTTTTCTGCTGTTGCTAGTTTCTTCATGAGCAGTGCTAGGACTTTTTCTTTTCTTATGTGATCCACATTCTAATTTCTCCACTTTCCTTGGCTTTGTCATGATCAGAATGTGTAGTATTTTTTGTTTGTTTGAGATGGAGTCTCGCTCTGTTGCCCAGGCTGGAGTGCAGTGGCCAGATCTCGGCTCACTGCAAACTCCACCTCCTGGGATCAAGCAATTCTCCTGCCTCAGCCTCCCAAGTGCCTGAGATTACAGGCACCTGTCACCACACTTGGCTAATTTTTGTATTTTTAGTAGAGACAGGGTTTCACCTTGTTGGCCAGAGTGCTCTCGAACTCCTGGGCTCAGGTAATCCGCCTGCCTCGTTCTCCCAAAGTGCTGGGATTACAGGAGTGAGCCACCGCATCTGGCCAGAATGTATAGTATTTTTGATGTGCATGGAATTCTGCTTGGGAGAGTCGGCTTCAGTCTCCTTTGCAGTAATTTGCATCGTTGATGCCTGTGATTTTGTATTTTGCTGAGAATTTTAGATGGCTTAAAAGTGAATTATGCCAAAGATGATCCAGATAGGGAGAGTGAGTCTCTTATAGAGGAAAGTAAGTTGAGGCGTCTTCCTAAGAATCACCTGAAAGGCTTGTAGGATTTGATCCAGCAATGGTCAAGGTTATGTGGTTTAGGGATCAGTGAGTTGAAACGTAAATAAAAAGTAAATTGCCTTTTGTTTTCCAAAGGGAAGTCTACAGCTTTGAAAAAACAGGAGCTTGGAGAGAGCACCAGGCTTGAAATCAAACATAGTTGGAAGAGTTCCTCTTCTGCCCTGTATGTAGCTTCTTTGACTTCTGTGATTTCTACCTTTGCGAAATGGGGATAAAATAATTTTTTACCAAGCTTCTCTAGGCCAGGCCTTCTGCTGGGCTCTAGGTTACTCTGGTTGGCAGGTTGTGAAAGCTCTGCCTCTGGGAACTTAGCATCTAGTAGAGAAGACTTAAAACAGAATGAACAACAATGATAATGCGGGATGATTGCTTTGATGGGAAGTACATGATACCATGAACAGGTGCATCCAACCCAGTCTTTCCAGAACAGGCCTAGGACCTGAGTACTGATGATTGGGCAGATTTAGCCTGAGGAGGAGCAAGGTCTTAAGGGGAAGAGTGTTTTCAGCAGAGAACAGAGTGTGCAAAGGCCAGGAAGGGGAGGAAATTTAGCATCAACAGAAATGCCAAGGAATTCTGTCTGGTTAAAGCACTGAATGCCTGGAGAAAGTGGCAGGAGATGGAGAGACAGGAGGTGGCTGGTCCTTGGTGGCCTTGAAGTCCTGTTAAAGAATTTGGAGTGTATCTTGTGAACAGAAGGGAGCTACTGACGCATCCTGACCAGAGGCAGGCTGAACACATAGGAGATCATTGCAGGGTCAGGAGAGAGACACTGGTGGACACTTACGACAGTAGGGCGGGAGCAATGGAAGTAGAGTTGACAGAACTTAATGATTGTTTGGATGACAGGGTGGGAGAGGAGAGAGGTTGGGATGACGTGCAGATTTCTGGTTTAGGATTGTGATGTGATGAAGGAGACCCAGGAAAACAACGAGTTTGTGGGAGAAAGACATTGCCTTCCAGCTGCAACATATGGAATGTGAGATGCCTGTGGAATGTCCCTACATCACACAGAGCACACTGCAGCTGTGACCACGAATGAGCAGCAGAGGAAGGAGGAAGAAGATGGAACCCTGAGGAACAGCAGGATTTCAGAGGTGGGCAGAGGGAGAGGAAGCTCTAAGGGAGGCTGTAAGTATATTTTAGTTTCTAGAAGACTTGTCAAAGCAAAAGGCAAGCTCTAGGGTAAATAATGTCGAGAGGCTGAAAAGGGTAAGCAGAGGGAAAGCAAGAAGCAGGGAAAAGCAAGAAGCAGGGAAAGCAAGAAGCAGTGGTGTTCTGGAAGCAGTTGGAAGCATGAGGTTTCAAGGAGGAGGGACAGGTGAGGAAGTCAGAAAATGGCCAGGTAGGACAAGAGCAGAATCATTTCATGGGAAGCGGTAACCATGCCATCGAGTACCTTTGCCACAGCAGATTTGGATGATGGGACCAGTGAGAGTGCAGATGGCAAGCACCCACAACTTTGAAACCAAGCTTGATGAGAAGACAGAACTAAGGTTACAGCTGAGGGAAGAAGGGAGACTTTGCGCCAAGGGAAGGGTTTTGTGGATTTGTTTGTGTTGAGGATGAGAGAATCCGGAGTATGTCTGAGTGTTAATGGTAAGTAGCCAGAGAAAGGGAGATGTTGGGGACAACCCAAGAGACCAGGGTCCTGGAGGAAGTATGAGCAAATTGTGCCCAGGGCACCCAAGTGAAGGGTATTCGCTTCTGCTTCTGGTGGACAGGGACCTCCTCCTCCAGGTCAAGGCAGGGGAAGAAGGGGCCAGGAGACTGGGAGCTTTAGAGGTGCTATACCGAAGAGTTCTCATGTCTCCTCTGAGTGGTGCCAGTGAGGGAGGAGATGGAATGATTAGAGGTTTAAGGAGAACACTGTATTAATATAGAAATGTTAGATGTTAAATGTAGTGTTTA